ATCCATCATTATTGACGGCGTCGATGTAACCAAACACCGAGATGTTGCCTTCCGAGACTCTATTTCCTTGGTACCCCAAGAAAGTGTACTTTTCGAAGGAACGGTCGAGTTCAACATCGGGTTCGGTGCCAGACCTGGCCACGAAGTCACCATGGACGAGATCATCGCCGCGTGTAAACTCGCCAACATCCACGATACCATCGCAGCCTTACCAGATGGATATCAAACCCTCTGCGGAACAAACGGAAATCAATTCTCAGGAGGACAGAAACAGAGATTATCCATCGCTCGTGCGCTCGTTCGAAAACCTAAATTGTTGATTCTCGACGAATCTACGAGTGCTTTAGATGCCGAGTCGGAAAAGCTCTTACAAGATGGATTGGAGAAAGCTGCGAGGGGAATCACAGTTATCGCTATTGCACATCGTTTACGTACGATTAGAAAAGCGGATGTCATTTTCTTGGTGGATGCAGGAAGATGTACGGATCAGGGATCGCATGAAGAGTTGTTGGAGAGGTCGGAAAGTTATAGGGCGAATGTCATGCATCAAACAGTAGTATAGAAAAAAAACGTTTCTGCGGGCGTAGAACTCGTATATATCCTGGGTATTTCTTTAAACATCTATAGAATTTAATAATATCAGACTCAAGTTGGTGTCCATTTTGATTTTGCTTTTGACTATTTACAGTACCCAGCCGCTGGTCGACGGAACCTAAAACCCCTGCGACTTCCCGTCATCACCGCAGCGTTCATCGCAGAAACTGCATCAACCCGATATACACTCTTTAAACATTTCTATCAAAATAGACTGTGAAGTTGAGAATGGTATCTAAGCAAATCGTTAACAGTCTGATAGATGTGTTTTAGTATAGGGTAGCCATGGATTAGACAAGGTCACACATAGCCCTTCGCGATACTTATCTGGCCTGCATATGTTGTGGAAGAGGACAATGAGTTCATAACGGATAACGCGCTTTAATGCAATTTGCCAAGACCTACTCACTCAGTAGGGTATTGCATTAATTGCATATATCCTATTTGTTTTCTCAGGTGAGTGAGGAATACAACGCAACAATGAACAAGTGTTAGTCTGTATGAACTACTGCCAATCGGAATACGCCCAAAGCAGGGGCTTGGGCATGCTGAACAAGATCAGATGACAATGCGGAATATGTCTCCTGCAATTGTCTCGGTTTGGAAAGCGGCTGTAAGCCTGATGCGACTTTATCTTTGCCCTGGATCGGTTCGGCATGTAAGCCTGAGACGGGACTACAGTACTTTGTTTTCTCAAAATTTTCATCCACAAATGAGTATTCTAGGTCCTAGGGCTGAAACGCGAAGCCAGAAAGAAGTAAAAGTGTGTGATACCACAGGGGTAGATCACGCGACGCGCCCAAAAAAGAAGTAATTATGATTGTACCGCAAGTATGCATACTTCAAGCGATAGTGTACAGATCTGTAGCGGGCTTAAGCCCATCATTCGGGCTAGATCATTCAAAGCTTATAGAAAGATAATTTATGTACCACGCGAGGCTGGCCGTTGACATGTTGATATGCAGCGCGGCTCAAAATTCTTTCACAAACAACGCAGAAAAATGAGTGAGACTTGACGAAAAGGAAGAAGAGACTTTGATACACCACATCACTAAAAATGGCTCACACAGCACAGTATGATAAGGCGAGGCCTCGAGTGCCTCTCCTGCCCTACCAACAACCGAGATCTCGAGAGTATCTGCCTTGCCTCGCCCGAGTTCTCGGATCTTGAGTAACTAGATCCGAAGTCCTACTCCGAGATTGTGGGACAATCGGGAACTTTCAGCGGAAATATATCACACGTGATGAGTACAAGACTTTGATGCATGAAGACGAACTACTTGTCATGTACCTTAGTAGGTCAACACTTAGATCTATGATCTCTCAAAAGCATGGAAGGATATGTCGTATTGCTTTGCTGCTTCAAACATAGCTTCGATACTGGAGGAAGCGAAAGCGAAGGAGTGAAAAACGAGGGGAATGCATAAGGAAAAGAGTACATGTCTTGAATTATTCCCCATGTTTTCCCCCACACCGCTTCTTCCACGACGGGTGTTTGCAGTAATGACGCTTTCAACCCTTTGGGAACGGAACTGACCCATTTGTTCTTTTGATGATCCGACAAGCTTTATATGATGTACCGACCGAAAAACCAGCATCGCTTCATGCGGGACGCCGTTTGTAAGTATAAGTTTATGTAGGTTCGGAGCCGGGAAATATAATCTATCATTTTTCTTTCCATCGATCAATACCGAGAAATAACAGCAGAACGGAACGCATGAATAAGCATTGATAATTGCTTTTTAGAAACAACCTGTACTTCGATAAGTATTTATAATGCCTACTTCGTCTTCTGAGACAAATTGGACAATGTGATTTGTGATTGAAAGCATGCTTCGTGGCTGAAATTCAAAAGGCACCCCCCCTCTTGTCCAACCAGGCCACCTGCAAACTCTTGCAGATGACTTTCTCGAAGAAGAAAAGACAGCAAATGACTGGAGGTATCCTCACTCCTATCACAAACATCACGAAATGCGAGATTCGGAGGAATTTTTAACATGAGCAATCAACTCTCCCTCCTATAGATTTCGCTTGGAGGGGTAGAACAAAAAGATGCGTTTCTACATCGTAATTGCTAACAAGAGTTGCGTATAGTATGATGAAAGACTTTTCTTATGTACGAGTACAACAAATTCAGTCATCCCCGTTCATCCACCTTGCTCTAGTGCATTGGTGATACGACAACAGGTGCTGCACGACACGTTCGCAACTCCGAGAGCTGGGGTTGCCGTCCCATCATTTTTTTCACAGCTGCAGGCATCTCTTTGAACCCGGCTCGCTCTAAGAATCGTTCACGAATTAATGCAGGAATTTCCGTATACGGTTATACCGCATACCGCATACCGCATACCGCATACCGCATATCGTGCAGCTGCAACGCACACTATCGGGGAAATGAGAAGATAGGGATCTTTTTATTTCTTTTCATGGGTGAAGGGAGAAAAGCGGATGGGAGAATGCGCGGAAGAAAGGCAGAGATTTAACAGCTAATAACGAATAACGAACAACGAAACACCAACAAAATAGAAACCTTTTCCCAAGACGTATGTGTACTCGATGTTCCGGGGCTCATCCAGACGGTATAATAGTATATGAGACATACGATAGGCTTAGAGAGAGGCCGATAGCTGCACTAACAAGACACTTGATAACGGCACAGAAGTACGATATAAAAATACGCCATTCTCTTTCGCTGATCGCTATATTCCTCCGGTCGGGGGGTGGTGCGGACAACAGTCTGTTGTAGGAGCTTGGTATAATGTATATGATGTATCCAAAGCCATCCATCCACATTCGGATCCAATATCTAACAACATTTGGGAAAGCACAAGATCAGAAATGCGTATATGAGAAAGATTTTTTGAAAGGAAAAGAGGACCAGAGAACGGAAATATAAAGTTCGTGACTGCAGATGTGCATTTATGTACCTAGGATGCGTGAGTGATGTGTTTCTATTATTGTCTGTATGGATTTCATTTGCATTCTCCTTCATTCTCCTTCGATTTCAATCACCATCTCGCATATATCTTCATACATTATCTGTCGTAATAGCAGCAACACTTCCAGGTCAGACTGACATGCATTTGGTAAGGTTCTCAAAGCAAATGTGAAGACGCGGTTCTCATTGGAGCTGAACCCTTTGCATTGACTGATGTACAGGTACAGATCTCAGTATTGGATATGATATCCCGCTCCGAATCCTGCTTTGGGGGTTAATGGGGGGTAATGCTTTTCCAAATAAAGAAGTCTTTTTTTGCTGTGTCCAGCAATCGAGCCGTCTTTTTGATACATTCACTACCTTGTTGTATCGGCTTGTTTTTTTTTCTTTCCCTTTCTTACTTTGACCATTCGGAAGAAAGGATACATGATATATCGCACTCATTTTCTTGGCTGGCATGAGAGAAGATAATTATATTTATTAAGATAATAGATATTATTAAAGACATTTTTTATGAAAAGGCTACGACAGAGACTAAGAGAGAAATAGGGGGGGAGAGGAGAAGAGATTTATTAAAAAAGTAATCATGGAATGAGTGAATACATTCAATTCAATTCATTCCATCGCTCACATATTCCTCACTTGCTCACTCATGATCATCAGAAGTGAGTTATTAGTTACTCATTCCTTATAAAAATGATGACTACTACCGAGACCGAGTAATTACTCCCACCAGTCCCCACGCTATTACGATATCGGATACTAATGATTCAGATAACAACCCCACCACCACCACCACCATCCGCTTACCTCCTCCATACATTATTTTTCCTCCATCTCATACTTTCCCATTGTGGATTTGTGGATTTGTGGATTTGTGGATTTGTGGATTTATTCCGTTGAAGACCGCATGTCACCATATTACCATATTACCATATCACCATTACACCATTACACCATTACACCATTCCCTGGATTCGATCCATTTTAATTACCCTTTTGACGACACCACCACCACCACCACCACTCCTAATATCATCATCATCATCATCCTTTCTCTCTTCTACCACACCATTTCAACGAGCAAGACGCCACCACGTCCCGCATCTCATATTACACTGACTACTTATTATTCTACGCCCAATCCTCTAAGATTCATTCCAATCTCATCATAAGTTACAGCACATATACACCTTTTCGATAGGCCGAGGCCGCCCATGCTAGTAACACCAAATCGCACATTGCATCGCGCATCTTGTACGGCTTAAAGATCCCAAATCTGTCATTGTCATTCAACCGGTACCCTAATTTACTACAATTGCTTATTATTCTTCTTCTAGCTTGTGCTCAGGTTCATTCGTCAATTCACAATACTCTCTTGCTCTGGCTACGACATATTTATCCGCGAGACCGGCTTTCCTATCTATGAAAATTGGTATTCGAGCGTAGTAAAGACGACGACGGCGCAATGCTTTCAGCTCCACTGACTCCTCCTTATGGAGATTCGGCAGACAATATCGAGAATGATTCAACCAATGGCCGCATGTTGACGGGCGGATCAGACTCTTCCTATACAAATCAGCCATTTGCGCTTGCAACTCCGACGAGTAATTCGAGTATGATGTTCAACGAATCTAGCGAAGAATATACACCAGGGGGTCGCTCCTTCTCCGAGGATATGATGGAAGAATCCGATCAGGATATGTCTGATGGAGGAGCGCCTTTGACAACAATACCATCGCATGCAGAAGAACCCACCACTGATATGGATCCAGGAGATTCAGAAAATGTATACAATAATGATCTGGTAGGACTACACAATGACTCTCAGTCCCAACTCTCGGCCAACCCGTTCTATACCCAAAGTTTCTTGGAAGAATTTGATGCGCCATCGGAACTAGGAGGTAGCTCATACCCATATGGGGCCTACATTCCTTTACCTTTACCTGAAGCCATTAATACCACCGATTTGCCAGCTGTGATGTCAGAGGTTTCGCAACAACTACAACATATTCAAGATGGGCAAGAGCATGGAGATTCTGAATCGACCCCAGATGAATATCATGATATGTTCATAAATCACAATCAGAGTACACCCCCTGCTTCATATGTTCAAACTATCCTTATGCCAGATTCTCTTTTTGAAGAAGATAAAAGTTTGATAACGTGGTATGACCTCTCAGCTGGAGGAGCGCTATTCGCGTTAGCTGCGTCACTAGAAGAAGACGCGGAATCTGTTGATCAGGGTATTGACCACGTCACTCTCCATGAAGTTGATCATGATGTTGACCATGTCACCCCCTATGAAACTGATCAGGATGCTGACCATGTCGCTCCCAATGAAACTGACATTGACATCAATCATGATGCTCACAATCTTGATGAGACTGTTGCTAACCAAGCTCAAGTTGACAGCCAATTTAATATGAACTTCGGCGACTTTCTTAGCGACTGGGCAACATCTTTTGCTCGCAGAGGCACAAATAATTCGAAGCCTTCACAGGCCGCTATTACTGCTCATATACTTGCCGAAAATTTTGAGCCAATGCGGAGGTGTGACCTTCAAGGGGAGGAATGTGACATTCAGAGAATTGATTGGACAGACTTGGGGGTGACACGATTGGAGGCTAGACAAAGACGTCGGGCCACTTACAAAAACTATACCAATCTTGTATACCCCAATCGTCCACAGCTCAATGTGGGTTTACTCATACTTATGCATTAGTTGTTGATCTGACCAGATTTAGCCCCGGCAACTGCATGGCACAAGACTTAGAAATGTTGATAATTACTTCAAATTCCGCCAAATGGATTTTCAACACGACGTCCACATTCGACACTTTCAATTGCGCAACTTAATTACCTGCCCCTCACAAAACTGTGTAATATACGCTGCAAAGACCAAGGTGTTGTATTATGACCCTACCATTGAATCGACTTCTCGCGTATTAATGGATCTTGGCAATCCAAGGACGCAGTCATTTCATTCTTCCTTGAATGGGTGTCAAGTTTCCACTCTCACCAGTGGCCACGAGATCGTTGTTGCAGGTGGATTTGAGGGGCAATACGCATTGATTAGCACTAGGGCTCAAAAGGATGCGAAACATACTGAAGGTGTGATTACAGAGCACCTAAATGATATCACAAACCATGCCCAAGTTCATCTGTCAAGGTCTTCCTCGCCCCTGGTTACCTTTGCTTCAAACGACTCTGGCATTAGAACTCTCGACGTCACAACCAACAAGTTTATTTCAGAGCATATGTATGACCATGCTATGAATTGCACAGCTGTATCACCCGACCGACGTCTACGTGTACTGGTCGGTGACACTCGAAAGGTTATGATCTGCAATTCCGAAACAGGGCAAACTTTACAAGAGCTCGAGGGTCATCTTGACTTTGGCTTCGCGTGTGATTGGTCTGAAGATGGATGGACGGTAGCAACTGGAAATCAAGACATGCAAGTTAAGATTTGGGATGCTAGATATTGGAATCGACCTATAGCAAGTATTGCTGCAGATATGGCTGGTGTCAGGAAACTCAAATTTTCCCCTTTGGGTTCTGGCAGGCCAATTTTGGTCGCAGCGGAACCAGCAGACTATGTCAATATCATAAATGCCGAGACTTTCGATAGTAAACAGACTCTCAGCTTCTTCGGAGAGGTTGGAGGCTTCGACTTTACTAACGATGGCCAAGAGCTGGTCGTTGCAAACTGTGACACCTTGAGGGGCGGGATAATCGAATATGAACGTTGCGATTTTGCTACCGAAGGTCTGTGTGGGAAGGATGAGCATCTGAGAAATATGATCGAAGATGACGAAAGTAGAAATATATTTGACGAAAGTAGAAATATGATGGACGAAAGAAGATATTTGATGGCTGGGAGGAAACGGAATTTTGTTACCAGCCATCTGGCTGAAGAACTTCTAGAGGAGTCACCAGCCTTTCGAGGTACTACGAAGCGCCGAGAAAGAAGAGCTGCCCTTCTAACCAACTTGGGGTCATTCTAAGCATTCCCGTACGCAGACATATTTCGATTAAGGAACACCATTTACATTGTTAAGGGGTATATTCAATGAGCCCAGAATAACGCCCCAAGTATTTATAGTTGGCTGATCATTCAATCCCTCTATACTCCGATATCTATATTTCAAAATATTCAAACCGTTACTGGTGGCTCAGATGCAAGTCAACCGCACTCTTTTTTCCTTTGTTGGCATCTCATTTTAACTATTCGGCATTTCTCGGAGTCACGAATTCTTCTTCTTCATCATCATCGTTAGTGATATTGCATATGGGATGAATGAATGGCATTTTAGGAAGGACTGCATTGGTATGAAATGAGAAATACCATTTGGGGAAAATTCAAATCTTCCGAGTTAGCGACGGAGTTTTGGGGGCGGGCTTAATTCCCGTTTGTTTTTCCAGGCGAAATTGTTTTTGGTTTGGTGGGAAGGATTTGGTATGGATCTCAAGGGATGAGATGGAATATGGGGAGGGAATTCGAATGTTTAGGGAGCATTATAAGTTTGTCTATATTTTACTTCACTTCGATTTGTGGCATTTTTTCGCCAATTAAGCATTTTTTTCTAATTCGGAACCTCGGGGGAAAAGATTCAATATGAGCTGGAATTTGATTTGAAATCTGTGAATGAGATTGCGGGTCTTGTCAATAGGATGGTCTGGACATTGTGAAGTGAATGGATTATTCAAGGGGATTCTTGTAGTGTGGAGCGGGTGAAATGGAATGATATAGAACTATTCTGATCTTCATCGGCATATTCGTCTCCACGGTAGCATGGAACAGTATATAGGAACTTCAGCAGCATCAATGAATATACAAAAGTTATTAAGAATTAATGGATGTCTTATTGCGTTTTTTGAGCAGGTTTATGTCTTGATACATTGCGGTGTTATCTGTTGAGGGGTTAGATGGTCTTCCTGTGTTATGGTTGTGTCGAGAGGATTTGTGTATTGAATTTGTATGGGGCCGTCTTTTGTCTATATGTTGTGTGCGGAGATAGCTGGGTGGATGGATGAGTATGTTGTTTATGGGGGTGCTTGTGGTAGATGATGGGTGTGAGGGTTTTAGGGTGCTGGAGTGTGGAAATGGAAATGGAAATGGAAATGGAAATGGAAATGGAAATGGAAATGGAAATGGAAATGGATATTCCAACCCATGACAATTCCTTTCTCACACAAAGATGGCTATGAGGGGGGAATTATCTTGTGAAATGAATAGCAGCGTATCTAGGTATCTACAGTTTATTGTATTGATCTTTGGGAGAAAGGGAGGAAGGGAGGAAGTGAATAATTTGCTATATGCATATATAAAATAGAGAGAGGTTGAGTTGAGTGTTGAATGAATATAGATTCGGAGAATTCTGAAAATTTGATACTAGGTAGTTGGTAGGTAGGGAGGTATGATGTTCGGTTTTGCGTTGCTGCGCGGCGTTTTTGGGTGAGTTTGTAACCGTACTGTCGGGATGTGAAGCTTGTGGGTGGTGGGCGCTAAGCCTTGGGGATGGAGCGAGAGCTTGTTTTTAGTGTGTGGATGTGGATGTGGGTTTGGATTTGGATTTGGATTTGGATTTGGATTTGTTTGGTAGGGTAGTTTGAATGATAGGTAGGCAAGGAAGGATATGGAGACATTGAGATACTATGTATTGAGACGGAGATATCGAGGTATATTTGGGTAAGAATTATATATCAGAAGATATATGAGAGGAAACTGTAAACGAAGAAGAGAATGAAATATATCGATTGATATTAAGTATTTCGAGGGTTGCTGTTGATTGTTTAATGGAAAAATGTGGATGAATTGTTTGTTTTTTATATTATATACTTAGATCCAATAGGTTAAAATGTTGAATCAAATCTCGCATTCGCTTCGAAAGATTTCAATCATAGGTAAAGTAAGCATACAACGATTGGTCACATCGCACTACAGAGTATCGATCCTTCGCTACTTCTGCTCGCTCATGATGTATGGGATGGAGAAAGTGGGTGGATGGGTGGGCGATATACGTACAGAATACAGATTGGACATCTCAGCGTCCTTACCACTGGCGCAAATACGAAGGTGAGAGCGGGTAGGCGCTTGGCGTCCTGTGCCTTGCATCTCCCGCGGCAGGAACTAACTTTGATTTAAGCTTATTTCTCCACGCTTTTGGGGGCGTGCTCTTTCGGGATTTTTGTTGGGTTTTTGTGGGGCGCTTCCTTGGTATTGGTATTGGGATGGTCGGGTTTGGGGTTTGTGGAGTGGAGAGGAGGCGGTTAGGAGTTTGTGTGACCGTGAGGTTTAAGCTTAAAATTACAATTAGGCCAAGAGGGTGATCGCGCGTGTCAATCGAAGATGGGGGATCGCTGGATCGTGGGCTGGGTTCGGCGCTTAGAATGGAAGAATAGAAGATTGGAAGCTTTGCGATCTTTTCTCGGGTTTGTTGATTTGCGCGTGAGAGCTATGCTGTCGCATCTGGTGTGTGGTTCTAGATCTGTTGTTTTCTGATAGTGTATGTGTGGTGGCGGGGTCCTGTTGGAACTCCTTGTTGAATGTTGAAAAATTTCGAGTTTGGCAACTTTGAGAATGTCTCAAGGGTTCAGTTGTTTGTCTTCCCGTCTTTTCTCTACTGAAGCTGTTTGAATGGAAATTACAAAATTAGAGATGTAATATAATCCTTCTCTGTCTAGTCGTCGCCCCCAAAGTTGGGCGAAGCGTCGAAGGGTCGAAGCGACGAGATGTCCAAAGGAATATGGCCACCTTGGCGTAGTGCACAATGTACAATGCCAAGTGAACAAAGTAATTCTGTACGAGAAATCTTGAACATCATGACAGAATTTACTGTCAAAAAATGTCAAAGAAAGCCAAGTGAAAAACAGCCTCTGGATAGTTTTTATATGAAGATTGATCCTCAGATTGATGGTGAATAGAGAGATCAAAATCTATATAAACTCCCTTTCCATCACCCATTTAAACTCTCTCTTCATCACAGAATCATACAATCATTCAATCATTCAATCATCTCATTCAACCATACAATAAACTCAATCACCTCAATCTAAACCATCCAACCCATCCACCGCAACCATGCAATTCATCAGCATTATCATTTCCTCCATCCTCGCTCTTGCTACCAACATCAACGCTTGGTCCCAGGATGACGTTACTAAAGTCTGGACTGCAAACAACAACTACACGACCATCCGAGGCTGTAAGTGTTCCCATACCCCTCTTATCCGATACGATCGTTTCAGTTGGATATTGAACTAACTCTCCTTCTCAGCTGTTGTGCACGAAGCCTGCACCGAGATGAACTCGGAGAATCTGCGTGCCGGCGGAGCCGATTGCGCTTACTGGACTAACGGTGTGGGAGGAATCTTGAACGGAAGTATGTATTTTTTTTTTCTTTTTGCTTTGAGAATGCGAATGAGTCGGTTATCATGGATGCGTACTAACACAATGATACAGAGTGCAACTATCAAGGAAACTCGGTTCTTTGCCTCAGTGGTTGTTAGAGGATGTGAGGAGGTGCGCTGTGCGTGATGACTTGTTATCTGGGTTTTGAGGGCTTTTCGCCCTTTAGATGTTTCGTTCTCTTTGATTCCGTGTCTGTTTTTATATATCTCACTTCAGTATATACTTCAATAGAATAGAGTGGCCACTCATTCCTTGAATCCATCAATTTGGGTTTGTGTGTTTTTGTGAATTTTTCCTTCTTCGCGAGGTTGATCGATTTGTTTTCCTTGCATTGTAGTGTGCTCGTGGAGTTATTCTGTACTTTAGAAAGTTATCACATTCAACTTCTTATAGTTTTGTGATTTTTGAGTTTCATATTCCTGGTCATTCTAGTCGCTACTACTTTTAGCTCGCTCCTGTTACTAGGATATATTTTTCTCTCATTGTCTTTTGCAATTTCACAACTCTTGACGCCTGAATAGATAAATCATTTCAATAGAATATTAAAGTTCCAGCTTCTGGAATAAGCAATAGAAACTTTTAATGTATGAACCTCTTTTTATATTCACCGAGAATGAATGTGGAAAGTATTTGGGGGGGCTAAGGGGCTAGTTTTTAGCCGATATGTTCGCTAGCCAGAAACATTCGGATCCTATGGTGATTAATTGGGTTACTCTTTCCCTACTTGATTATATCTACTAATGAAACCAGTACATTCATTAATCTAGACTGTGTGCTTTTTTGCAATATACCCAGTGATGATAGTTTACAGACAATATAAATCATTCCTAATATATATCATTCCTAATATATATCATTCTTTCCAGCTCTTTGGGTCTTTCAACATCGTTCATAATTTGAACAATTAAATCATATGACATAGTCTCACATATAGGAGAAGTTTGGATCGTTGAACTACAGCTTGTTAAATTGATAACACTAAATCGGACAAACAGGCACGGCGCGATACGATGACATCACCAACCATTGCCAAAATCCTCGAAAGGAAGGTAACTCTCAAGCATCTCGGCTGAACTCCCCAAGAATATGAAGAAATATGAACAAGCTGGCAATGAGTCCAATTCATCGAGACCGAAAAAGATAAAAACACAATCTTCGAAGTAAATTTTCTGGACCACGATTTAGGATTTCCCCATTCATCTGAAGTCGAAACTAGCGAAGCAGATTGAGGAATCCCCACGCGGGAACTGAGAATAACAGCAAAGCTTATAAATGCAATTATGAAACTAGAAATTACAGATTCAAGACTGAAGAAATCGGCTTCGTGTTTGAGTATGAATATGATGGAATTGAGGTATTTGGAAATGAGAAGGAAGGCTATATAAGGGGTTTCGGAGTCCCTATGTAGTTTGAATACTAGGCAAATTGTCTCGAATATTCGCACTATTTGTATTGTTGAACCAATAAAATCGTTCGAAAGTGTTGGATCAAATTATATTTGAAGAAACGAGAGATTGTATATCTTATTATTGTCATCTGTATGACCAAGTTCACGGACACACCAATAAGTTGTGTCTATAAGAAGACCGTGTTTATTGAATAATCATTTAGGTCTTTGAAATCGACTAGAACTGATAAACAATGTATATCTCCACCCCATCATCGCTATTCCAGTCTATTGCCCTTCGTACCGCTCTCAGTAAATCATCCATACATTTCTTCCTCCTTTCCTCTTCTCTCATCCTCTTCCTCATCCCACCACACGAAATGCGTTTGTTCATCAAGAATCAATCCCATCATTTCAGAACAAAGCAAGCCACGCATGCTTAATTCTCTACCCCCAAATCCCACGGCAAAACCGTATCATCCGTCCACACGCCTCCTTTTGGTTTCCACTGGTAGACACGTTAGTACATGTTCCCGCGCAAAAAACCCAGAATCAAGAGGAAAAGTTGAAGTTGGGGGTACGTCAAGAACTTCTTCGTACACATCAATCAACCAATTAATCGGTGACGTAAACTCCGGTACATGAAAACCGGGTTCCAAACCCCAAGGAACATATCACAATACTATCCCGCAATCCCCTAACCTCCAAGATCCAAAAAAGAAACATAATGAACTTCAATAGAAAATGAAACTCACCATTGCATACTGTTCTTGCGGTTAACACTTATGACATAATTCCTGCCACTCCTCACTCATATTCTCCTTGGTTCCATAAATGCAATATTCAAGTAACGATCTCCAATCATGTTTCTCGAGTAGAAATCTCGCTCCTTCTCTTCCTGCTCCGCCTTCGGCTTCGCTCCAGCATCTTGTATCGTTAGTTTTAAATTCCAAAAATGAGACTTCAGATGATTTTTTCTTCAAAAAAATCAAAGTCTATGCTAGCAGAAAAAAGAATGTCTTTGCAGAAGAGGTGGAAAATTCGGGTTTGAGATCAAGATATGAAATTGGGCAAATGGGAAAACCCGCAGGTTGAAAAATCATTCACATACTCCAACTTAAGCTCTTTCGCTTTTTCCTCTCCAAATTGCATCAAGAGACTTGCTACGCCTTGACGATGGTAGGAAGGATGCGTAGCTAGGATATTGGGGACTGTTAGATGTCCATGATTAGTTTCGTTTATTTCTGCTAAAACTTGTTCCCTTCAAGGAAATAACAAGAAGAAATCAAAAAATAAACTCACTGACACACCCCCTCCTCATCCAGCTCATCCTCGGCCTAAACGCCTGCATCAGCACAAAATTCGCAAACTCTCTCCCCTCCCCCTCCGGCCACCACTCCGCCTCAATCTTCTGCATCGGACTCGGAAAAATATTCTTCTCATTCACCAACCAACTCGCCGCGCCGACTACCTCTCCAGTTTCACGATCCTGAACTGTGATTCAATGACTGCCCGGTGTGTGCATGTGGTTGTTCCAAAACCAGTCTTGCGAGAGGCGCAGCGCGGTGGGGTGATCGGGAGCGAAGGGCGTTTGGATGGCGACGAAGGGTCGGTAGGGTGTGCGGTTGGCTTTTTGGATGAGCAGGGCTATGGTGTTGATTTCGGAGCGCGTGTGCGCTTCGGTTACGGTGAAGGGGGACATTTTGGGGATGGGGATGTGCAGAATGGGAGATGGAAAAATCGAACTAGTGTAGTGAGTTGAGAAGTAAGTATTCAATCTCTCTCTTCTTTTTCCCGGTGAGAATTCTCGAGATCCTGAAAAATATGCTTTTTATATCTACTATCCCGTATCCAATATCCCGCACCTCGACCACGTCACAATTGTTCGCAACAGTTGATACCCGCAGTTAGTTGGTTGGTTGGTCTGACACGCATCGCAAATTACAATTTCCTACAATTGTATCTCCAAAAGAAATATCCTTATCTATTCCCACGATATAGAATTGCTAGCTTCCTGATTTGGAGAGTTGTAAGAGGAGTACATGTTGAGGATACGTATCTCGTGAGGAAATCGATATGGGTTGTTGAGAAATTGGTTTTTTTTTTCTTTCTCGGAATTGTGGCAAGGGGGGTAGGAATTGGAACAAATTTACCGTGTAGATTTGGCTTGCGTGTATATAGAGATGAGATATTACGTTGTTTTGATTATTGGATCTTGAGTATGAGAATCGAACTTGCAGTTGTAAAAAAGAAGTCTTCAAGTCATCCGGAAACCCTTCACCATCCATCCCTTCAGACCCTCGTGCAGTTCCAGTTCAAAATGTCTGATTAAAAACCAGAAGACCCAACAACCCTCAGATCAAAAGAACCCCCCTCAACTTACTAAAACCATGGCCGATCCCAATATCGTCGATTTCGAAGGTCCAGACAATCCCACAAACCCCCTAAACTGGTCTCCCCGCTACAAATGGGCCATGGTTGCAATTCTTTTCCTGATGAATCTAATGGTGTATGTCTAAACTGCCTCGGATCCTCTACTTACTGACTCCTCCAGCAATCTAGGAACCATTATCGTAGCCCCTGCAGCCCCGCAAATCCTCGCAGACTTCCACGAAAGCGGTGATCTATACTCTACCATCTTAGTTTCCATCTGGGAGCTAGGCGAGATTCTCGTTCCCCTCATTATCGCTCCCCTCGCGGAGCTTTATGGGAAATGCGTGATATACAATATAGCCAATATTACCTTCGTCATTTTCTCCATCGGGGGAGCAACCAGCACCAACATCCACATGCTCATTGCGTTCCGATGATTAAGTGGTTTGATGGCTGCATCTACCACACTCAACGATGGAACAATCGGTGACATGTTTCCTCCCGAGCAGCGCGGAGGCGCTATATCACTTATCAGTCTTTGTCCACTACTAGGTATCATCACTGAACTAATCATCGGAGGATATCTCACCGCCGCAGCGGGATGGCGCTGGACATTCTGGATCATCACGATAGCAACCGGCGTGGTTCAGATAGGATTTTTATTCCTGAGAGAAACATACGCGGTAACGATTTTCCAAAAAAAGACGAAGCGGTTAAGAAGAGAAACAGGAAACATGGCACTCCGATCTAAATACGCGAAAAATCTTTCTAAAGGCGACGTCTTCCGAACGGCAGCTTTGAGACTGGTAAAGATGCTTCTCTTCTCTCCGATTATTCTGATCGTGTCTCTGTATTCGACAGTTATCTATGGATGGCTCTATCTAGTAATGACAACCTTAATCGAGATATTCGAGTCCCACTTCAACGTATCACAAGGACCCGTCGGACTCACCTTTATCGGGACAGGAATCGGCATGTTCATTGGAGCCATCAGCTGCACCCTCCTCCTCGACGAATGGGCGATCCGAGAGGCAGCTGGAGGAGAGATACAGCCCGAATACAGACTACCCGTTATGGTTCTTGGCGGAATAATTCTCCCCATCGGATTCGTCATCTACGGATGGACAGCCGAAAAACACGTTCAATACATCGTCCCGATTGCGGGTTGATACTTACGACTCTTCCTGGCGTCACATATATTGTGGACGCATATACACAGCACGCAGCGTCTGCGATGGTAGCTATGATAGTATTACGAAATGTGGCGGGTACAGTGCTTCCTCTAGCCGGGCCGCCCCTATATGGCAAACTTGGGCTCGGATGGGGCAATTATGTTTTGGGCTTTATCGCACCAGTCTTTGTGCCCATACCATTATTGCTGGTCAAGTTTGGAGAGAGAATCAGAACGAGTAAGAGATTTGAAGTGAACATGTAGACAATAGATTAAGAACGTGGCCAGACGGGAGAGAGTTTGAAGATTGGGTTTTTGTTGTAGATAAATATTTTTAGTGATTCCTAGCAATGTTTCTCCGTATACAACGGCATACTATTTCGTGCTCATATAAACCCGCTCATTTGCTCACTCATTCTCTAGACTTTCTATTCAAAAAATACATCCATCCATCCATCTTATCGATCAATCAATCAATCAATCAATCAATCAAACTTTCTCTTATCTCATCTCGTCTCATCTCACAACATCATCTCATCACATCTCATCTCATCATCAAAGCCCCATTCTAGATTTTCATTCTCATTTTTCCAAACAATTCATCAAACCACACCCATCAAACCATAATCCCCATCCCCATCTCCCTCTCCCTCTCCCTCTCCCTCTCCCTCTCCCTCTCCCTCTCCCTCTCCCTCTCCCTCTCCCTCTCCCTCTCCCTCTCCAGATCAAATTAATCATTTCCCAAAGAAAGCGATCAACACAAAGCACACACACACATATCACTAACAAACACATCTCCTCTCCCACTCCTCTCCCACACATCTCCTCTCCCACACCTCTCCTCCTCTCTCAAGCATTCCCCCATTCCAATAAAACTACCCACCCACCCATCCACCTATTGCGCCCTCAAGTACCCGTAGTCCTGTATTTGTGAAGAAATCACTCGAATCCCAATTCCATCAATAAACACCTCCAAATATCTACCTACCTACCTACCTACCTACCTATATATAATATAATATACCTCCTATTCAACATATCCCTATTCTCCCAGGTAGGTATCACCATCTCCATCTTCATCTCCAGCAATGATACACAATCTCGCCTCGTGTTGCATATTCTAATCTACAATTTAATCTACAATTTAATCTACAGAGTTATTATACAAATAAATAGATTAAAAAAGAGGAGAGTTAATAGATAATAATTAATATTCATCCATCTATTCTTGAATATCCATCCTCGAATATCCATCCTCGACTAGATATTCATTTTTATTCCATTCCAAAGACCAAAAAAAAAAAAAAAGATAAAATTAGGAAGAAGAAAAAAAGAAAAAAAAAGGAGTAGAAAGAAAGAAGGCCCAGGTATTTAGATGAATCGATTCAATACCCATCTACATCAATAATTAATCCGCTACGCTACGTATCTAGGTATTATCTATACATCACACAGGCGACTAGCCAATGCCAACACCCCTAACCCAAACTCAAACTCAAACGCACTCAACACTTCTACACCTCTTCATCTTCTCGTAAAGACAAATAATCAAAAAACATACCTATATATATGTAGAAACTTCGACATCCACTCATCATTCAACCTCCCCACACACATACATATCAATCATTAATCCATGAAATCCATAGATCATATAACGTCATTATATTGAGTGGCAACAAAACGATCACTACCTAGGTACCTATCTTTTCCCCATCTACTCATTTCCCCATCTGCTCCTCCTTCAACAAATTCAATCATTTCCTGAGTAGGTACTCAATCCATCACTACCTATCTCATCCCATTTCAAATCTCGCCCCCAACTCACTCACTCGGCTAAGCCCCTGGTGAAAAAAGTCACCTCCTATAATTCTCTCCTTCGTACATGTGTCATTTAGCCGAATCCCGCTCCCTGAAATCTCCCTTCCCACTCCCAAAAGAACCATGCTTAACCCCGCCCTAGACTATGCTCCATCTTCCCCGTTCAAATACAAACATCATCAATGCTATATAAAGAAATCCGCACACAAAGATATTTCTTTTCCCTCGAAACATGATAAAATAAAAAGATAAAACCAAAAGACGCCATTCATTATGTAGAGTAATGAAACGCCACGCCTCGCATGCAACGTATCAAACGCGAAAAAAAGCAAGGCATTTTGCCCAATGCATTCAAATCTTATCCTGCGAGATCTATATCACGCCTTTCTATATCGACAGCTATGCCCACAGCCAACAGTCTATCTCTGCTAATACAGTCCGGACCACATTGTACGCGCTAGTTTCCAGATTCTGCTTTTTTAAATGTTCCAACCGATAATTATTAGACATCAGAACTGATTGGCGTGGCTGCAAAGCTTTTTGCGTTCCCTCTCCAAAGTCGGGGCTTTCGTACCGCTCTTCACATTATCACACACTCCTTCTCATCTTTCCCCGGTTTATCGACTGCCGAAGCACTTTTCTTAATCTTGGCCGCATTTCTGGGTGGGGCAACTTCCATGGGTGTACCTCCCGACGCTGCTGCTCGGATTTTGGCAAGTCGGTGCTTCGCGCGCTCATCGCCAGATTCGGCAGCTTTCACATACCAAACATTAGCTTCCAGCGGATCGCGTCGGCAACCAATACCCATCTCCGTGAAATATCCTATAGCATACTCTGCCTTGAGAAGACCTATAATATGATTAGTTTGAGATTGATGAATGAACATTATAAAACACATACCCATATCAGCAGCTCTTCGTGCCCACTCGTATGCCTCATTCTCATCTTTTTCGAGTACTGGTTCCGCACCAATCAGATACCAAGCACACAACGCCATCATAGCTTCGGGATTACCAGCCTCCGCAGCTCCATTATAGAAATGCACACTTAGAGCAGGATCTCGAGGACACGAGAGCTTTCCATGTTCATATGCCTGGCCTAGTTTAAAAGAAGCGTCGGCGTTTCCTAACTCTGCAGCTTGGGTAAAAAGCTCAGCCGCATAAGCTTCATCTTTGAAAAGATCTTCTCCGTAGCCATTCTCGTACAATACTCCAAGATGATACGGCGCAGAATTGTACTGAGCATCAGCCGATTCAGTGGCTCGTTTCAGCCATTTAAGGCCCTCCTTATATCGATCAAAGCCGAGATCACCAGAGAGACAAGCTCGACCAAGACGAGTCATTGCACCAGGATGGTTTTTAGCTGCCGCTACTCGATAGAATTGCACTGCCTTTGCAGCATCAGCTCTACAGCCCCACCCAAATTCATAACACAACGCAGCTCGGTAGCCAGACTCAGCATGGCCGTGCTTGCTTGCTGAAACGAATAATGAAAAAGCTGTGTGGTGATCTGGTTTTCCTTTATTGAATAGCCCAGAGGAAAAGCCGTCAGCCAAATAATATTGTGCGAATGGATACCCTCGGTCGGCCAGCTTTTGTAGAATGCTCTTGGCTTCGCGCAGGAGGTTTTGTGGAGTGGCAGGTTCACTCTCTATATAAGGGCTATTGCGACCAGGTTTCGGGCTAGCTTTTCGTGGAGTGTCTTCTTCCAGGTTTAAACCAGCCTCTTGAGCTGCCTGTATTAAAAATATAGCAAAAGAATATTGTATCTCCGAGCTACTCGATTTCTTGGCATTTTGCCGATACATTTCCAATGTCTTCTGTGCACTCAATAGTGACGCATTTGATCCCACAACTGTCCTTAGCTGTGAATTATCTAGTGAAATTGGACCCGGTGCATGTTGTCTCGTGTAGGGCATGTTAGCAAGGTCGATATACGACATTGGCCTATCATGAGACCTCCCCGAATTAGCGGATCCCGTACGCCAAGTTGGTGAGTTGGGGCCATTGCCAGGTGAACGAGTTCTCCCACCCAAGTCAGAATACGCAGATAATGGTCTCTGACTCGAATTATTAGAAGAATGTCGGGCATATGAACTAGGGGTTAAATGGCGATTAGTCGAAGCTCCCGCTTCCATGAAGTCGGTTGAACCTGTGCCAATGGGCATAGAAGCTCGATGGTTTGGAGTTGTTGTAGCCTGATGGTAATATTGCAATTGAGGCACTGGCTGCTCATGTGCATCAGCTTCATTTTCATCGATTCGTTCGGGAATTCCATTTCCAAATCGGCTTGGGTAGGCTGCCGAGGTCTCTGATGAAGGTCTTGAAGCTGACGATGATTCCCCAGACATCCTTAGGTCTGACTGCTGAGGAGGATCTATAACAGTTGTGGGCGGCGGCGGCGGTGTTCGGTATGGCATTTCAGTAGTCACAGGTAGAAACAATTCTGACTGCTGAAAACTCTCATTTTCATGAGTTTTACGTGATTCCTCTTCGTTCCCGATCTGCGACTGACGAGACTGTCGTTGGATATTGAGTTTAGTGGGAGTCATTGGTGATCCTTGGATTCTTCCAGCGGGAGGTGACGGTGGTACTGACTTTCGTCCAGTATTATTTTCTTTCGAATTTTCACCGTCAAAATATCCTGCCGGTGATCCTTTGGTGGAAGCTTTGCTGAAGCCTTCTGGACCAGGGGGGGTTGCAACTTGGGCTGGCATGGTCAAGTTCCGTATTGCTCGACCTTTGACCCGCTGTTCGACTCTTCTCCACCCAAACTCCACTGGACGAGGTTAGGTGATTCTTTCTGATATATCTGCGTACTTTCCGGATATCAAGAAGTTGCGCTGCAATAGTAAGATCAGTCGGTACCGAGGTAGGAGGGGAAAGATGCGATATATGGCGAGCGAGAGTTTATTCTATGCCGGTATTTCTCAGGTACTTGTGTAATCGTAAATGTTGGAGATGCAAGGCAAACGAGTGTGGTAGATCGAGGGCTTTTTTTTTTTTAAGAAAAAAAAAGGAAGGGGTTTGGTCTAAGTAAAAGGTGAATCAGTATTGAGTAAGATGGTATCCTCGATCTCCATAGGGAGATTATTTGAATGTACAATGTAAGCTCTTACCGGTACTACTTGCACAAAGCTGTCTGATGAAATGATGAAATTTTTTGTAATTTCCCTTCAGAGTCCAGAGGCAAAGTGATGTGATTTGAACACAAAGAAGAATGAATGTATCCGTGGCGGTAACCTTATTATTCTTGTTGGTTTCGGAGCATCAAAGGGCAAGTGAATAATATTTTAGGATTACACCCCTGTCGCAACCCTAGGAATTATTTATGCCCCCCGCGAGTACGATGTATGAAGGTAGTATTTGGTGGGTTGACATACGAAGTACAGACAGAGGTGCGGCTGATACTCTAGATGGATATCCTTCACACACGAAGTGGTTTTTCTTGTTGACAAAGTGTACAATGGAATTTGGGATCTGGAATCTGGAATCTGGAATCTGGAATTGGCCCTCCGTTTCCGATGGTCGGCTCGGCTTTGGTTGACTATGACTGATATGACTGGATTGAGTTTCGCGTGATGAGGGAGAGGAATGAAGATGCAATATGCAGGAATGCTGTTGTCGCACGCACGTCAGAATGAGAAACTCTTTCTCAACAGACTCGACCCTTCTTTCTCGGCCTCGGGAATGCTCAGTAGCCGTCAGTACGGACGGAGCATTGTACGATTTAAGTATCAGGTATGCGATGACGCTTGCGGTACCACTATTATTGTAATTACGGTACTTGCTTGATTGCTTGACATTCGAATTCTTCTAATAATCTCCAATCTTCAATGTCCATCTCCATAAAAGAGAGATTGATAATTATGATGTGATAAATGTGATAATTACTATTGACACAGTCACTGATGTCCCCGCTTTGCATATCAATCGACTTAATAATTTGATTGAGTTTGTCTCCGTGCTCTATAAAGTTTGCACTTATTAGCTACGGTAGTATTACTTAGATAGGTAGGGCGGGAGGGTCCTAAAACTTTCAAAGCGCACTTAGCTCTCCCCAGCTACCCTATCTAGGTCTTACGTTGCTTGAGCCCATCTGATGCGATTTGAACTTACAACTTACAACTTCCTATGTACAGCAAGTAGACTAGCAGTCAAGTCAAGTCAAGTCAAGTCAAGTCAAGTCAAGTCAATCACTCGAAATCTCCACTTTCCTCCAAATACATCGTAGTTGCCTAGGAGTTATTGTTCCCTACCTGGTCCCTTACGATGGGTGGATGTCTTTCTCCTCCGTATGGATAATTGGAAAAAGAAAGAAAAGGAAGAAAAAAGTAACAGAGGCGGTTAAGCGTCAAAAAAGGAGTTGAGCTGCGGGGAAAAGACCTTCCTTCCAATCCCATTCCAGCACAGAGTACATGAAGAGTCGACCAGATCCTAGCTCCCTCGTCAAGAGATGCATAGTGTCGTTGGTTCGCTGTGAAACCTTTCCTACTAGGTCCCCAAGATGTCGGTTTGGAAGATCCGGGGTTTCTTGTGTATTCCGACGAGTTACGTTACCAGTGATCAGTTACCACTTTTCTGACAGATGTCAATCACTTGCTACCGTATGTAGGTAGACTCGTCGGCAGGTAGGTAGGTAGGTAGGTACGTGTGTGTGTGTGTGTGTGTGTGTTCATGTTATGTGTGATGTTATACAGCAGTGCATTACGCTCATTAAATAGTTAATCAATTCGTGGACATTGGATACGTTTTATATTCTGTGATGCTACCGTAAGTAAATTGTCATATCATACATGATTCTTGGGATATCAAATCAAAATCACAATATATCACATTCTATCTGTTACATCAGTCGAGATTGATAAACCAAGATGATAAATTGGCTCATCAAACCAATCCAGGTACATCGTCCCTCTGTTCCAATTTTTCTCAACATCTTCCAAGTCACCTGAAGTTCACGTATCAATCAAAAAAAAAGTGGAAAATCATGCAGAGAACGCGCAATATGTTATGGGTGTTGATGCAAGAAAATGCTATCCCATTACGAGTATTATCTTATTCATTGTCCGTTGATCAGAAAGAAAGGTGGGGAGGGAATATTGTATGTATTATTGTCTGACACTTCACCTGTTTATGGATTGGAATACCTTTCCCGCTACGAGTGACATTTTGCTGTCTTAGACTTCCTCGGTCAGTCCACGACTACTCATGCGGAATGTATATATATGTGTGTTGGCCAAAAATGTGAGATTTATCATCGGAAAGAAAGAAAGTAAGTAAGTTTAGATAGCCTCATTGCTACTAGGCATAGTGTCCTTTTCCCCCTCATGCCGTATTCTTGGTATCGGTATCGAGAGCCTCAAAAAGGACATTTCAATATCACATTGGCCAATAATTGATTACTTCTTCCCTCTACACATTTTAGCTTACGGTACCTGAATTGGATCCAAATCTCCATACCAAGTCTCAAGCGCTGAGATCAGCCATGAGAATTTTTACATCGAGGCTGAGTTACGAAGTCGACTTACCTAGTCGAGGGATGTCAGGTCCATACGGGCGGGCGTGGTGGAAAATAGGGTATAGCTTGGTTCTGGGGGAAACGAGTACGAGCAGAGCAGAGCAGGACACACACCTAATGGAAGTGTCGTGGTAGTCATTGTCGTCGTGGTAGTCATACCGACTGTTAGTAGAGGAACTATTTACGATAGTCAAGTTGAGGTCTTCAATAATCATACACCGTAGATAGATAGGTAGGGTTCAGTTCGTGATTGAGCTAAATAAGAACTTTGTAAGACACGAGTGGTATCAATCACCCCACCCACAGACTCATCAATGTCTTCGTAGTCGCAGTCGCAGGATGCTATGACAGCCATCTTTCGAACGTGCTGTCTTCAACAGGAATGGTTGGACAATGGATGATGCCATGGAGACTAAACCCCAAGAAACTCGATCGGAGTAATAATTTGATATTTTTTGATATTTTTTGATATTTTTTTCTTTTAAAAAAAATTGACTTTGTGTCAAGCGGATGTGGCGATCATTGATTGTACTTAACAGACATGGTTCATGTTGTTGATGCGGAGAATCCCTCCCCTCCTTAATATTCTTAATCAAGGCACGCAAGGGTCTACTCCATAGAAGAAGTAGGTACCAATTACCTAGTGCCCCTTATTGAAGGTTAAGATCAGCTGATGACTTGATATGGCATGGGGATTGTGAAGAAAAAGAGGAATTGATGAAGAAGTTGAAGTTTGTCGTTTCATTTTTTCTTTCTTTTCAAATCCCACTTCTAAAGCGATTAGGCTGGTATTCAATAATAAGTGCATCGTAACGCCAGACCCAAGCTAAAAATATAAAAAAAGATGGTAGTATTCTTGGTGGCATATTATCGGTTGGCGCTGCTCTTCTCGTATTTCCCCCTGTCTTGACACTTTTTTATGTTCGCAAGGTGGAGTGGAATGTGTCGATTCGGTCCAAATTCCACAAGCATCAGATCTGTTGGATATCTCGTGATGAAACTCGCATTATCGGTGTTATCGGTGGTATCACTGTTTTAGTGTTATAGCTTATAGCTCCCATGATGATCCATAATACATGGGAGAGTCAAGGCTTTCAAGGATGTTGAACAACCCGACACAACATATTGCATATAGCTATCGTATGCATTGCATTGCTTTGCGCAATGGAAATGGAGGTGGAAGTGGAAGTGGAAGTGGAAATGGCGCCAGGAAAGGTTGTGTCAACAGTATGAAACGACTAAAGCGAATCTGTCGTGATTGATTATGTACAAGGACCGGAATGATGATGATGATTGACACCGATCTACCGGTGCGGAACGGTGAGAAGTCTACAAGATGAGGAACCTTCCTGAGCCTTCCCAGAGTGCATTCATTGATTGCATTTCTGGCTTTGCTACCTAGGTAGGTAGGTAGGTAGGTAGGTAATGATAGGATGGGATGTGAAGTGTAAGAGTGTGAAGTGCAAGAGTGCTTACAAACGATATCTGTTAGCATTCCATTAGTATTCCATTAGTATTCCACTTAGCAATCGACTAATCCGTAGGTGCATATCTATCTATTTAGGTACCTGCCTAGGTACATTGAGATTCAAGGTACCAAATCCATCAATCCATCAATCCATCAATCCATCAATCCATCAATCCATCAATCAATCCCCTTAGCAACTTCCCTTGCGACCAAGGTTAGGTAGGCTCGTAGGCACTTACTAAACCATGGATATTTTTAGGAATTTCCCTTCCCTTCCCTTCCAAACTCAATCAACAAACCAATCATTCTTCTCCAAATTCGAATGTTGGGCCCATCTCAAGTTCCTCCGTACACTTATATCCCCGGTGAGCATACCATTCATATATTATTCATTATCCCTGATAGGCCGTCATGACAATATTGGTGGTGCATTCCAAAGCCGTTCTCTTGATTTGCCTTTCGTTAGGGTTAGCAAATAACAATACCGGTACAAGACCATTCAGTAACGTGAATGTGAATATCTCGGTAGCCGTGTACCCATCATTTGTCCACCTTCTCTCTAACCACGAACTAATCATGAACTTCAAGTGCAAGACTTCGTTCGACCTTTCATAATCCCATGGTGAAGATTTGAGGAGAAATCATTCGTTTTTGTGACTCCATCATCTTCCAAACCCACCTCCAATATATTCATTCGGTTCTATTATCATTATCATATGGAACTTTTG